TGTCCCTACAAAGGACACAAACTCATCCTTTTTTTATGGCTGCATAGTATTCCATGGTGTATATGTGCTACATTTTCTTAATCCAATCTGTCACTGATGGACATTTGGGCTGATTCCAAGTCTTTGCTATTGTGAATAGTGCCGCAATGAACATACGTGTGCATGTGTCTTTATAGCAGCATGATTTATAATCCTTTGGGTATATACCCAGTAAAGGGATGGCTGGGTCATATGGTACTTCTAGTTCTAGATCTTGAGGACCGCCATACTGTTATGCATAATGGTTGAACTAGTTTACAATCCCACCAACAGTGTAAAAGTGTTCCTATTTCTCCAATATCCTCTCCAGCACCTGTTGTTTCCTGATTGTTTAACACCATTCTAACTGGTGTGAAATGGTATCTCAGGCTTTGATTTGCATTTACGGACAGTTCATCAGCACATTAAAAGCTTATCCACCATGATGAATTGGGTCATCCTTGGGATGCAAGGCTGGTTCAAATATTCGCAAATCAATAAACATAATGCAGCATATAAACAGAACCAAAGACAAGAACCACATGATTATCTCAATAGATGCAGAAAAGGCTTTGACAAAATTCAACAGCCCTTCATGCTAAAAACGCTTCAATAAATTCGGTATTGATGAACGCACTCAAAATAACAAGAGCCATTATGTCAAACCCACAGCCAATATCATACTGAATGGGCAATCAGGCAAGAGAAAGAAATACAGGGTATTCAGTTAGGAAAAGAAGAAGTCAAATTGTCCCTGCTTGCAGATGACACAGATTGTATATTTAGAAAATCCCATTGTCTCAGCCCAAAATCTCCTTAAGCTGATAAGCAACTTCAGCAAAGTCTCAGGATACAAAATTAACATGCAAAAATCACAAGCATTCTTATTCACCAGTAACAGACAAACAGAGAGCCAAATCATGAATGAACTTCCATTCACAATTGCTTCAAAGAGAATAAAATACCTAGAATCCAACCTCAAGGGATGTAAAGGATCTCTTCATGAGAACTACAAACCACTGCTCAGTGCAATAAAAGAGGACACAAACAAATGGAAGAACATACCATGCTAATGGATAGAAGAATCAACGCCGTGAAATGGCCATACTGCCCAAGCTTATTTATAGATTCAATGCCATCCCCATCGTTACCAACTAGTTTCTTCACAGAACTGGAAAACTGCTTGAAAGTCTGCAGGAACCAAAAAGAGCCTGCATCTCCAAGATAATCCTAAGTCAAAAGGACAAAGCTGGAGACATCACTACCTGACTTCAAACTATAGTACAAGGCTACAGTAACCAAAACAGCATGGTACTGAAACAAAACAGAGATATAGGACACGGAACAGAGAACAGAGTCTCTCACACATCATACCACATCTACAAGCTATCTGATCTTTTGACAAACCTGAGAGAAACAAGAAATGGGGAAAGGATTCCCTATTCAATAAATGGTGCTGGGAAAATTGTCTAGCCATAAGCAGAAAGCTGAAACTGGATCCTTTCCTTACTTATACGAAAATTAATTCAAGATGGACTAGAGACCTAAATGTTAGACCTAATACCATAAAAACCCTAGAGGAAACCTAGGTAGTACCATTCAGGACATAGGCATGGGCAAGGACTTCATGTCTAAAACACCAAAAGACATGGCAACAAAAGCCAAAGTTGACATCACTGTTTCCCTGACTTTTAATGTTTGCCATTCTAACTGGTGTGAGATGGTATCTCATTGTGGTTTTGATTTGCATTTCTCTGATGACCAGTGATGACGAGCATTTTTTCATGTGTCTGTTGGCTGTATGAATGTCTTCTTTTGCGAACTGTCTGTTCATATCCTTTGCCCACTTTTTCATGGGGTTGTTTGTCTTTTTTCTTGTAAATTTGTTTGGAGTTCTTTGTAGGTTCTTGGATATTAGCTCTTTGTCAGACAGAGTAGATTGCAAAATTTTTTTCCCATTCTGTAAGTTACCTGTTCACTCTGATGATAGTTTCTCTTGCTGTGCAGAAGCTCTTTAGTGTAATTAGATCCCATTTGTCAATTGTGGCTTTTGTTGCCTTTGCTTTTGTAAAAGTTTTAGACATGAAGTCTTAGCCCATGCCTATTCTGAATGGTATTACCTAGGTTTTCTTCTAGGTTTTTATGGTATTAGGTCTAACATTTAAGTCTCTAATCCATCTGGAATTAATTTTCATATAAGGAGTAAGGAAAGGATCCAGTTTCAGCTTTCTTCTTATGGCTAGCCAATTTTCCCAGTACCATTTATTAAATAGGGAATCCTTTTCCCATTTCTTGTTTTTGGACAAATGTCTTGAAATTTGTCACTCGGTTCTAACAGTAAGTAAACAGCTGAACAAACTCAAAAGTCGACAACTCAAGTAAAATCCTCAGAGATGGCCAGGCACAGTGGCTCCCGTCTGTAATCCCAACACTTTGGGAGGCTGAGGCGGGCGGATCACGAGGTCAGGAGATCGAGACCATCCTGGCGAACACGGTGAAACCCCATCTCTACTAAAAATACAAACAAATGAGCTGGGCGTGCTGGCGGGTGCCTGTAGTCCCAGCTACACGCGAGGCTGAGGCAGGAGAATGGCATGAACCCGGGAGGCAGAGCTTGCCGTGAGCCAAGATCATGCCACTGCACTCCAGCCTGGGCAATGGAGCAAGACTCCGTCTCAGAAAAAAAAAAATAAATGCTGTTAGAGAAATGAAGAATGCTTTTGATGCTTACTGAATGCACACAGCTGAGGAAAGAATCTTTAGCTTGAGGATGTGTCAATAGAAACTTCCAAAAATGAAACACGAAATTTCAAAAAGAGCACGAAAAAAAGTGGAGCAATATATTCAACTACATTTACCATTTTGTATTGACCATCGCAATTTTTAAATTTTGTAGTTATGGGAACAACTACCAAGGCTGTAACATTCCATGGGAATGGGAATACTGTTTGGTTCGGGACCTGCTGGAGGTGACCAGGGGTGCTACCTGATGCACTTTTCCTGCCTGGGCCACATTCGATTTTTTCTTCATGATGATGCCATTTTCATAAGGTGGATTCTTTCTTGTGGGGGACATGGACCCAATGGCATCTCACTTGACTCTTCTTAATTCACAAACTTAAACTCTAGTTGTATTTCCTTAGGTTGGAGAAACAAGAAGACTTCACATACCTGTTTTGGGCTCCTCCCCATTTTTCCTAATTCTGCACAGAAATTAGAAAGAGGGAGTTCTTTCTATATTTACTAACATAACAAACAAACATCACTTTTAATTCGCATCATTCCTCCCTTTATGTACTGACACACTGAAAAGTTCTGTCCCTTTAACGGACTCTTTTACTCAAGGACTTGCTAATTTCAAATCACCTTTGGCATCTTTCTTGAGCATAATGATCCTGCTGAATTCACCCCACACCTAAACCTTAATTGGGTATCAAGAGAAATACTACTACCAGCAATTCATCTTAGATATTTGGACCATCAGTAAAAATTTCCACTGATGACAAATATTTTAATGTTCCTTCAAATTTTGTTTTGTTTTGTTTTGTTACTAGAGTCACATCATAACATGAGGTCTAAACTCCTGACAACTTTTTATGGAAAAATTACACACATAAATTGAGCATCCCAAATCCAGGAATCCAAAATCTGAAATGCTCCAAAACTAACACTTCTGACCACTGATGTGGTGCTAAAAAGAAGTGTCACAGAGCATTTGGATTTAAAATTTTTCAGATGTGGGATGCTAACCCAGTACATCTACTGCAAATATTCCAAAAATAAAAAAGTTAGAACTCCAAAACACCTGGTTTCAAGCTTTCTGCATAAGGAACACTTTATTCATGAACTATAGGTATGAAGATCTATAGATCTCTGGAACTTCTATCCTGCATAACTGAAAAAGCGCACACCCACGAACAATGTCCTATTCCCCCACTCCCAGCTCCTGGAAACTACTATTCTACTCTCTGATTTACTCTGGAATCCACTGAGATGAGGTACATAGAGTAGTCAAACTCACAGAATCAGAGAGAAGAATGTCTACTGAGAGAAAGTATCTGCAAGACTTCTTCCCAAATATTAGTCTAATAGCCACCAAACGCAAACGGTCCATAAGGGCCAGACCTCCATGATCAGTTCATGCTCGCGCTTTCCACTAGTCAGTTCTGCATTTGCAAACATCCACATGTATTTCTAGAAAGATCCACATGGTCCTCACCCATCCTCTACAGGGGGAAGGGAACATCATGGACACAGAACAGGGAACATAGTCTTGGTCCAAAGCTATCAGCCCTTGCTTGTCCCCTTCACTGTTTGTAGGTCGTTCCTTGGACTCTGCTCTATCTTTAAAGGTCACTGGCTCAAGTCAGTCACTATGAGACAGCTGGGAAAACTGCCCCACCTTGTGGCTCCACTGCCTGATGACTGAACTGACCTCCAGGCTTGACTCTGGTCTCCCCTGTGTTATTTCTGCTGATGTGCCCAGTCCCAGGCCAGGCTTCCCAGTACCCAAAGGGTTTAAGGACAATGGGAAGTTCCATTATCCATCTCTAGGATGTCCTTGAAAGGGAAGCTACAAAGAAAACTTACCTTGGGGGGCTAAGTAAGACTGAAGCTAAGAAGATTCCAGCACTGCATGCTCCAGGTGAGGACCACAGGTGGGACAGGCAGGCAGTTAGAGAAGGAAGGACTCAGAGAGGCACCAGGGTCTGTGACGGCAGGTCCCGTGTCTTTCCATGACCCAATGCTGCTGCTCAATTCACACTTGAGAACGTCTGTGCTTCTCCCACATAAAACAGGCAGCCTCACAATCTCTGAGCCCTCAGATTGCCATGCATCTGTCTTGTAACACACACACCTGCTGTGGGGTTTTAAGGACTTGGGTGGGCTGAGAAGTGGGAAAGGCCATCTCTGATTGAAAAATGTCTTTGGAGGAATCAAAGGTGCCACACAGGGCAATCTTCTCTCTGTTATCTGCACAGTGGAGACTCCCAAGCCCTACATCTCCAGCAGCAACTTAAACCCCAGGAAGGGCACGGAGACTGTGATCTTATCCTGTGATCCTGACACTCAGGACGTAAGCTACCAGTGGTGGATAAATGGTCAGAGTCTCCCTATCAGTCGCAAGTTGCAGCTGTCTGAAAACAACAGGACCCTCGTTCTATCTGGTGTCAGAAAGAATACTGCAGGACCCTATGAATGTGAAATGAAGAACCCAGTGAGTTCCAGCCGCAGTGACCCAGTCACCCTGAATCTCCTCTGTGAGTATCTTCTGTTCCTCTGTGAGCCAGGCTGCCATCCCAAATACACATGGCCAGAGGCCAGGCCTCTCAGTCCCTCTCAGGTGCAAGTACAGAGACCTTTACCCCTGGACATCAAAGCTAGCCATGACTACTAAGAGTAGGCTTAGGTTTGATCAACAATGGGAGAGAAGAGGTTGCTCCCGTCATGGGAGACTCAGGGTCCACAGCTTATGATGGGAGAAACAGGTGAATGTCTCAGGCTCCAGATCAGTAAACACAGGAGGGATTTGACTGGGACTTCAGTGTTGTGACTTAGCTCAGATGGTCACCGTGGCCCTTCCACAGACCAGGATTTTCCCGTCCGTCTGACAACATCAGCTGTGACCTTATTCTCTTTGCTCCAGATGGCCTGGATGCCCCCACTATTTCTTCATCATACACCTATTAGCACACAGGGGAAATCCCTAAACTCTCCCGCCTCACAGACTCTCACCCACTGGCAGAGCATTCTTGGCTGATTGATGTTCCAGCAATCAGCACAAGTTTTCTTTATCCCCCAAATCAGTATAACATATACAGGGGTCTATGTCTATTTCATCCATAACTCAGCCACTGGTGGAACAAATCTTATAATCAAGAAGATCATAGTCCCTGGTAAGTGGATCCCTGGAGCTTTGGCAACATGTTTTCCAATGAAGTCTATCTGGCTATCAGGGAAGAGCCACCTGCCCGCTGCAAAGAGAGAGGGAAAATAAAAAACCCAGGACAGGGAATATGTTTCTGCTTCAAAACCACCAGCTTTTGCCTGTCCCCTTCACTCTTTCTAGTTCATCTTTAGAATATACAGTAACAGTGAACAATCTGAAAGAAATTAAGAAAATAATTTCAATTCACATTCAAAAGGAATAAAATATTTTGGAATAAGTTTAACCAAAAAGGTCAAAGGGTTGTACCCTGAAAACTCTAAAACATTACTGAAAGAAACTAAAGACAACATCAATATATGGAAAGACATTTCATTCGCACGGATTGGAAGAATCAATATTGTTAGTAAGACAATGCTACCCAAAGTGAGCTGCAGATTCAATGCAACCACTACCAGAATCCCAGTAATATTTTTTGCAGAATTACAAAAATCTGTCCTAAATCTGACCTGACAGGCTCTTATTAATGACTGCCACAACAGAGACACTGAGAAAAAGATGCAACCATGAAAAGGTGGAAAATTTTGATGACATAGAAAATAGCAATCAGCCTCTCTCATATCCCAAAGCCTTCAAAAATATACAAGTGCAGCATGGCCAATATGGGATTGACCAAAAACTAATCACCAAGCTACAAACGTGGAGAGAGAGAGAAAAAAAAGGGCAAGAATGTATTTGGCCTATCACCTCCCACTTCAGCGTACTAATCTGATGCTGAAAAGAAATGCTCACTGGAGCATTTTAGATTTTGAATCTTTCAGATTTGGGATGCTAAACCAGTAAGTATATGACAAATAGTTCAAAATAAAAAAATTTCAGAAATCTAAAACATTTTTTGTCGTAAGTCTTATGCAAAAGAAATACTCAGTATGTGTGAACTATAGACATTGAGCTGTACAGCAGATCTCTAGAACCTCCCCATCTTGCATAACTGAAACTGCACATACATGAACAACCTCTGATTCTCCCCACTCTCAGCTCCTGGCAACCAGCAGTCTCTTCTCAAATTCACTCTGGAATCCACTTACATGAGGTTCCTAGAGTAGTCAAACCCATGGAATCAGAGAGTAGAGTGTCCAATGAAAGAAAATATTTGCAAAAATTCTCCCGAATTGGCCTCATATCCATCAAACACACATGGTCCATGAGGCCCAGATTTCCAGCAGTTCATTCCCACCCTATCCACCAGTCAGTTCTGCATTTTCAAATAACCACATGTATTTCTGGAAAGATCCACATAGTCCTCACCTGCCCTCTGCAGAAGGAGAGGAAACTTAAAGAACTCAGAACAGGGAGCGTGGTTCTTTTCCAAAGCCACCAACTCTTGCCTGTCCCCCTCACTCTTTCTAGATCATTCCTTGCACTCTGCTCTATCTTTGGAGGTCACTGGCTCAAATAAGTCATCATGAAACACCTGCAGAAAACTGCCCCACCTTGTGCCTCCACTGCCTGATGACTGAACTGACCTCCAGGCTTGACTCTGGTCTCCCCTGTCTTATTTCTGCTGAAATATCCAGTCCCAGGCCAGGCTGCTCAGTATCTTCAGGGTTTCAGGACAATGGGAAGTCCCATTATTACTCATCTCTAGAATGTCATTGGAAATGGAAGCTGCAGAGAAATCACATCTAGGGGGGGCAAAGTAGGATGGAATTTGGAAGGGGCCCAGCAGTTGCACATTCCAGGTAAGGAACCCAAGGTGAACCAGCCAGTCAGTTGATTAGAGAGGGACTGGGAGGGGTACCAGGGGCTGTGACTCCCACTGACATGTCTGTCCATGACCCAACACTGCTGATCAATTCACACTTGAGAAAGTCTGTGCTTCCCTAAGACAGAGCAAGTGGCCTCACAGTCTTTGAGCCCTTAGATCATCATGCATCTGTCTTGTGACACCCACACCATCTATTGACTTTCAAGGACTTGGGTGGGCTGAGAGGTGGGAAATGCCAACTCTGATTGAAGGATGCCTGTGGAAGAATCAAAGGTGCCACACAGGACAAACTTCTCTCTGTTATCCACACAGCAGAGCTGCCCAAGCCTTACCTCACCAGCAACAACTTCAACCCCATAGAGAATAAGAATGTTATAGCCTTAACTTGTGAACCTAAGACTCAGGGCTACACCTACTTGTGGAGGGTAAATGGTCAGAGCCTCCCGGTCAGTCCCAGGCTAAAGCAACCCGGTAAAACCAGGATCTTCTTTCTACCCAATGTCACAAGAAATGACACAGGACCCTATGAATGTGAAACATGGGACCGAGTTGGTAGCATCTGCAGTGACCCAGTCACCCTGAATGTCCTTTGTATCTTTGGTTCCTCTGTGGGCCAGGCCATCAGCTAAAATTCAAACGACCAGAGGCCAGGCATCTCAGTCTCTCTCAGGCCCAAGTACAGACACTTTTAGGTCTGGACACCCGAGCTGGCCATGACTCCCTGCCCTGGGAAAACCTGGGTAGGCACAGCCTTAACCAAGAATATAAGGGGAGGGGCTGCTCTTGTCATGGGAGACTTGGGGTCTACATCCTGTGATGGGAGGAACAGGTGAATACCTCAGGGCTTGTCTCAGTGAACACAGAAGGGGTTTGGCTGGGTCTTGAGGGTGTGTCTTGATTCAGGGGAACACTGTGTCCCTTTAAGAGACCAGGAGCATCCCCTTCCCTCGGATGACATCACCTGTGGCTTTATTCTCTTTACTCCAGATGGTCCAAAAGTCCCCAGGATTTTCTCTCCATTGACCAATTACCGTTCAGGAAAAACCCTCCAGTTGTCCTGCTTCGCGGACTCTAACCCACCGGCAGAGTATTCTTGGACGATTGATGGGAATTTTCTGCAATCAGGACAAAAGCTCTCTATCCCCCAAGTTACTACAGAGCATAGCGGGCTCTATGGTTGCTCTGCTCGTAACTCAGCCACTGGCAGGGAACGTTCCACATTCAAGAGGATCAAAGTCTTTCGTAAGTGGATCCCTGCATCCTTGTCAACAAGGTTTTAGGTGGAGTCTATCTGGCTTTCAGAGAAGAGTCAGGAAAACATTTTAATTCCCAGCCTGTGTCCCATGGGCAGAAGCAAATCCTAAATTCTCCTCCTGAACCCTCCCAATTTGTCTCTACAGTCTCTCTTCTCCTAGTTTTTCTGTTTTCTCATGGTTGACCTTGTGTCCAGCCTGAGAAACGTAGTTAGGGGGCTTTGTCAGCCCTGAGCCCTATGTGGTGGAAGAGGCTTCACAGAGGGACAAGAAGGAGAGTCCTCAAGATCAAGTTGCTTCTTGCTGTCACCAACACATCCCTTTCCGCTACATCTTTGTTTTCTTTTATCTACTCCATGAGCTACAAGGAACATCTGAGGCTTTGAAACAAGCTCACATTTTTCCCCCAAATGAGAGGAGGAAGCCCCTTGGATGAGAGAGGAGCAGCTCAGACTGCTCCTTACTCTGCTCCGGGCTTCCCTGGTGACTGGCCCTGCCTGACTCCACCTGGGGTGGGACCAGCATGTGTGGAGAAAGAGCCCTGGTGGCCTGTCCTGAATTCGGCTAAATCGAGCTGCCAGTTGAAGTGAAGCCTAGGCTGCAGGGAAATAAGAAGAGAGGGAGCTTCGGTGCAGACTCTTGAGCTGTGTCCTGGCTCTGAAGTCACTGGCTGTATGAGGCTGTGGGCACTACATGTGGGACACAGCACAGAGGACAGTGAGTGATGCACACTTGAAGAAATAGGGAGATTCACCTCTGGGACTCTGCATGGCAGGAAAGGGGCAATGGAAAACATGTGTATTTGTAGAGTGTAAGACTACCAGGACACTTTATATATATCTAATATAAGATTTATCGTTAACTGTTTCTTGTGTGCAATTTTGTGTTGTGTAACTATCACACTATCCATTTCCAGAACTTTTTCCTTTTACCATATTAAACCTCTGTACCCTATAAACAGTAACTCTCACTTCTTCTCCCCCTATCCCTTAGCACATACCATTCTACTTTCTGTCTCTATGTAACTGGCTATTCTATCTTTCATAAATGGAATTATAGAATAATTATCCTTCAATGTCCAGCTTATTTCAGTTAGCATAATGTCTTCAAGGTTCATCCTCTTTGCACGATGTGTTGGAATTTTATTCCTTGTTAAGGTTGAATAAGATTTCGATGTAGAGATATACCTCATTTGCCTACCCACTTATCTTTCAGTGTACTTTTCTGTTGTTTCCATTTTTTGGCTATTGTGAGTAATGCTTCTCTGAACATCAATGTGCAAGTATTTGTTCAAATTTCTTCCATTCTATAGGCAGTATGTCCAGAAGTAGAATTGCTGGATCGAATGGTAATTTATTGTTTAATTTTTTGAGAAAGAGCCACACCACTTTTTACAGTGGCTATAACATTTCCCATTCCCATCAGTAATGCACTAGAGCTCCAATTTTTCCATCTATTTGAAAACACTTGTTTTGTGTTACTGTCATTGTTGTTTATCAAAGCCATCCTAAAGTGTGTGAGGTGGTGTCACATTGTGGTTTTGATTTGCATATCTCTACGTATTCATGACGCTGAGGAACTCTGCATGGGCTTATTGGATATTTGCATATCTTCCTTGGAGAAAACTCTATTTTAATCCTTCATTCATTTTTTAATTGGATTTTTGGATGTTTGCTGTTGTTGACCTGTAGTTTTTCATGTATTCTGGAAATTAATTTCTTATCACACTTATAATTTGCAAATATTTTTCTCATTTCATAGGTTGCCTTTTTACTTTCTTGATAATGTTCTTCAATGTATAAAAGGTTTTGATTTTTATGAAGTCCAATTTATCCATTTTATTTGTTGCCTATGCTTTTGTTTTTACAACCAAGAAATCGTTGTGAAATCCAATGTCATGAAGTTTTTCTCCTGTGTTCTTCTAAGAGTGGTGTAGATTTTGCTCTTACATTTAGATCTTTGATCTATTGTGCGTTAATTTTTGTATATGATGTTTGGTAAAGGTTCCACTCATTCTTGCCCTTGGATATACAGCTTTTCCAATATCATTCGGTGAGAACACTGTCCTTTCTCCATTGAACGATCTTGGCACACTCGATGAAAATCATTTGGCCATATATGCAAGTATTTCTTTCTGGGCTCTCTGTTCTATCTTATTAATTTCTATGTCCTCCTTTATGCCAGTACCACACTGTATTGGTTACTGGGGCTTTGTAGTAAGTGCTGACATCAGGAAGTGTGAGTTCTCCAGCCTCATTGTCCCTCTTCAATGTTGTTTGTCTCTTAGAGTCATAAGATTCAATATATATTTTAGGATGGATTTTTCTTTTACTGCAAAAATGTCACCGAGATTCTGATAGGAATTGTATTGAATCTGCAGCTCATTTTGGGTGGCATTGTCTGCCTGACAATAGTGAGTCTTCTAATTCATGAAAACAAAGTATCTTTCATTTTATTGATGTCAACATTAAGCAATATTTTATGGATTTCAGGTATAATCATTTCACCTCTTTGGTTAAACTTATTCCTAAATATTTTAATCTTTTTGATGTTAATACAAATTAAATTTTTTTTCTTAATTTCCGTTCAGATTTTTCATGGTTAGTGTGTTGAAATACAACTGATGTTTGAATGTTGATTTTGTATTGTGCAACATTAATGAATTCATTTTTTAATTCTAATAGGTGTGTTCCATCTTTAGGATTTTCTACATATAAGTTCAAGTTATCTTCAAACAGAAATAATTTTACTCCTTTCTTCCAATTTGAATGTCTTTTTAAAAATTCTTGCCTAATTTTCCTGACTAGACCATTCAATACTGCATTGAATAGAATTATCAAAAACAGCATCCTTGTCTTGTTCCTGCTCATACAGGGAAAGCTTTCAGTCTTTCTCCATGGAGTGTGATGTTAGCATTGGGTTTTTCACATATTACCTTTATGTTGAGCTGGTTTCCTTCCATTCTTAGTTAGAATGCTTTTATTATGAAAAAATACTGAATTTCCTCAAATGCTTTTATGGATTCAACCTTATTACTGATTATAGTTCTATTCATATTTTTGTGTTTTTCTAGGAATTTATTTCATCTAGGTTATCCAATTTTTTGGAATAAAATTATTTACAGTACCTTCATAATCATTGTTTCATTAGAATTGGTAGTAACAACTTCATATTCTTTTTTCTTTTTCTTTTTCTTTACTTTACTTTTTTTTTTTTTTTTTTTTGTTTAGAGAGAGAGAGAGAGAGAGAGACAGGCTCTCACTTTGTATGCCAGCCCAGGCTGAAATACAGTGGCGTGATTATGGCTTACTGCAGCCTCAACCTCCTGGTTTCAAGCAATTCTCCTTCTTCAGCCTCTCAAAATACTAGGACTACAGATGCATGCCACCATGCCCAGCTAATTGGTTTTTAAATTTTTTTGTAGAGGGAGGGTCTCCCCAGATTACCTATGCTGGTCCAAACACCTGGCCTCAAGAAATCCTCCCATTGTGACCTTCCAAAGTACTAGGATTAAAAGATGACCCACCATGCTCGGACTCCATTTTCATTTCTGATTTTAGTAATTTTAATCTTCTCTCTTCTTTTCTTAGTCTAGTTAATGGTCGTCAATTTTGTTGATTTTATTTTGAAGAATCAACTTTGGTTTCATTATTTTACTGTATTCTTTTTCCATTCTCCATTTTATTTTTATCCACTCTAATCTGTATTTTGTCCTTAAATCACTGTACTTGGGTTTAGTTTGTTCTTCTTTCATATCCTGAAGTATGAGAGAGCTTGCTTCATACCATTCTTTTAAAGGTTTATTGCAGTTAATGAAACAAGATGCCACACACAGACGAACCAATGTCAGCTGCTATATTACTACCATTATCATTAGCCTTGAGGTCAAATAGTCCTAGAATCAAATATCAAATCCACCCATTACTAGCCATATGACACCAGGAGAGATTTTACACTACTCTAAGCTTGTGTCTTTTCACTGGCAAAATGGAAATAATGTCTACCTGACAGGGTTACTGTGTGAATTAAATGAGGTACAGGTAAAGTATTTAGCACAGGACCTGGCACATAGGACGTGCCCCTCAACAGTACCTATTTCCATATATATATAGAAAAAGAGGTACCACATAAAAAACACTAGGACATGGCTACTGACTACCTGTGGGAGAGAAAGGAAAAAAGCTAAGTGCAAAGAATGAAGCCTAGTATGTTACTTTTTACCAACTGAGATGCATCCCGGTTGGGATTGGACATATGAGATAATTTATCATGGAACACATCTGTGAGGGAATGTGGGGCAGGCATGAAGGTAGTATGGGAGAACCCACAGACCACTATACAAAGCTGACTCCTGTGTAAAAGACAGAGAAGGAAGTTTTAGGTATCAATGCAGTTCTAAGAGAGTTTTTGGAAGGCTGATGTGGAGTCCTCCAACCAGTCACCCATTAAAGTTAAAGAGAGCCTGAGAGAAGTAGGCTTGCTTTCACGCCCTTGCTGGGAGCCTGTGGGAAGGAAGCTTTCTGTGCAAAGGAGGTTGTGAATTTGAAATGTACTGACCTGGGCCTTCTGTCAATCAGGTCCCTGCCATGGACACCTGGCAGGGTCTCATTGATGGCTGCCACAGCAGACACACTCAGAAAAAGACACAACCATAAAAAGGTGGAAAGGTCTAAAGTTCTAATGACATAGAAAATAGCAATCAGCCTTTCTCACATCTGAAAGTTTTCTGAAATATCTGAGTGCAGTAGAGAATTGACAGAGGACTGATCACCAACCTAGAAATATGGCGACAGGGGGAAAAATCTGCAATAATATAATCATCTCCCATCAACTTTCCAACAGAAGCAATGTATTCCTTGAAGAAACAATTATAGACTACCTCATGTTACATCCTTGTTCCTGAGGCTCCCCCCGTAAAATAACATCACCTCCCTTTTTTTTTTTTTCTTTCCATGACAGCTCGTTCAGGAACAGGACGTCCATCCTGGCCTTAATCCGATATAGCAGCCGTGATGTCATTTCTGTATTTTGGGAAAACTGGCAGGTATGATGGCCTTTTCTCTTGTCCCATTTCCTGAAGGGCTGACTGCCATGCTTGGGAGAGGGAAGAGACTTATTTGCCTGTATCTGGGACTGGATCTTCTCCTTCCTCCACCAAACTCCTGCTTCTCAACACTAATTCCTGCTGTTCCCTTTCTCCCTGGCCTTTATGCTCCCTGTACCCCACTGTCTTTTAGACATAATTATCTCCAGCCTCTGCTCCTTCAAATGAGAAATGTGAAACCCTCTTCATTATTTTTCACATCTCTCAATAGTGTAATTCTCTCCATTCCCATAAAGCTCAACCACTTCTCAAAGTGTTGCTTGACTTTTTGCCTCCAGACTTTGAAACCTTCCTTGCACAGGACTGCCTCATTACCTTTCTAAAATCTAGTTAATTCACTTAATCAAGAATCTCCAGGGGTCTACACTAGCCTATTTGGTAAGTTCACATTTCTTCTATTTACTAATCCTTCTCACTTCCTTTACCTCTAATTCCTAGTGTAATTCCTCTGTCCTAATTAGAACTGTCTTCCTACACATCTCTGCCCCTTCACCCACATAGACAAAACATTCTTAGTTCCAATGCTATGCCTAAAAACAGGGCGAACTCCCCTCCACCACCTGCACTACAGACTTAACCACACCCTTCATCACAAGTATTCTCTGACCTCGTGCAGAACAAAGACTTTAGGATTAGCCTGTGAACTTGAGACTCAGAACAAAACCTGTGTGTGATTGAGACCTTTTCCTGATGAACAAATCACATGTTCCAAAAAGATACAGAAATGAAGTAGGCAAGGTCCCTACCCCAGGAGACATAAAGCCTAAGACAGGAAATGAGACCTGAAAATAATCTTGATAGCAAATAGAAAAAAAGTGAAGTCCACAAGAAACCAGAGAAATCTGATGGGAAATATAGCTACACATTGGAATCACTGGAAAACATTTTTAAAAGTGGATGCTCACACCCCATGTATTAGTTCCAGTTTAAAGGTCTGGTGAGGGACCCAGGCACTGGTAATTTTTGAGTCTTCCCTGAAACTACAAACATGTAAAGAGGATGGAGAACTCTTGTTGTAATAGGTAGAACTTAAAACTAAATCAATGATTTTCAGGTAGAAGTACCAGCATTACCTAAGGACCTTTTTGAATGTACATAAGACTATACTTTTTGGCCCTAATTATTAATGGGCTACACCAAGAACTCAGTAATCCAGTTGGGAAACAGAAGCTGAATGGAAAAGTCACCTTATTTGATATGTTAAAATATATATAAAGCATTTTCAAATGAGTGATAAGTGATGCTAAACCTTCTCTAAATAACATTTATGGGAATGTTAATAATATGAGTATTCCAGTCTGGGTGCAGTGGCTCACGCCTGTAATCCTAGCACTTTGGGAGGCCGAGACGGCAGATCATGAGGTCAGGAGATCGAGACCATCCTGGCTAACATGGTGAAATCCCATCTCTACTAAAAATACAAAAACAAAATTAGCCGTGCGTAGTGGCAGGTGCTTGTAGTCCCAGCTACTCCGGAGGCTGAGGCAGGAAATGGCGTGAACCTGGGAGTCGGAGCTTGCAGTGAGCAGACATCGTGCCACTGCACTCCAGCCTGGGTGACAGGGCGAGACTCCATCTCACAAAAATAAAAATAAAAATGAAAAAATTAAAAAAATTAGTATTCTAAACACTATATGAAATTTCTGGAAATCGAATATGTCATCAGTCATAGTGTCATATGCCACAGAAGTAGCTACGTTTCTATGTGAGCTGTGTCTTTACCATAATCAACCTAATACAAACCTCATTAGATTTTTAACCATAGTCATTTTAAATCTTTGTCATTCCCAGACAGTTGCTTTGATTCTTCCTTGAAGTATTTATAATCAGCTACAGTCCAAAATTGCTTTTTCTTTGAGGAGATATATGGAAAAGACTCTGACAACGACTCTTGAATACAAGTTTCTGATAACTTCAAGATAATACCACTGGACTCTCTGAGAACTTTCAAAATTTTAATGAACAGTCCGATACGTTCATGAAATTCAAGACAAAGAAGAAAACAACCCTAACATTTATTGGACTAAATAATCAAAATGATAATGTTTTCATAACTTTTTATTTGAGAATGTGCTGATTCTTTGAATGTTTTATTCTCCAGATTCATGAACTTTCTCTTTTAAGCTATTTATACTTTACAGCAACTTGGTAAAATATACTTTTGTAAACAAAAATGGAAACATTTGCTTTTGCTCCGAATCTGAGTGCCCCAGAATTGGGAAACTATTTATGAGTATTCACATGCTTATGGTAATAAAGTTATTTGCACAAGTTCAGTAAGAATCTACTCTCTTTATAACAGGACACATTTGAAAACATTGGTTATATTACCAAGGCTTTGACTGGGATGTCGTATTTGAGAATATACATAGAATAAACCCATAGGGAATGTAGGCAAAGTCTGAAGTTGGCCTTTGTTTGGCTTCCTAGTCTCAAGAGGTTTTTGAAAGTTTAATCTGAGAGTCTTATAAAACTTCTAGCAAAGCAAAGTTTTTAAAAAGCCTCTATGGTCCCTTGCTATTCTTGCTGCATTTAGGTAAAAAATCTAGGCAAGTTCAGTGAGACTCAACCTATTTTGCAAACAAATTCATCCTACTGGAATTACCCTTGGTGAAAATAGAGACCCCTATATAGAGACACATTATTTTGAAAAGAAAAACTGTAGTACACCTGTTACCATATTCAACCACTGTTCATTATCTTTGAGTATTTATAATCCATTGGTAGATTGGACTGGACTCTGAATTCTTTTAGTTCTTCCAATTCATTTTTCTCCAATGAAATCATAAAAACAGGAACAGCTCTGTTCCTGAAGCCATATAAGCTAGAGGTGGGCAACTCAATGTAAATTTCATGGGAAAACCCTCGTGTCTGAGGTGTGGGCCCTTCAGAGCTCACCAAATGTTCAACACCATAACTTAGAGACACTTAAACTGCAAACCACGGCAGCAAGTTCATGACTTTACACTTTGGCAGCTTTTCTCAAGATGTCAGAACAAGACTCAATCATGATGAGACTCTTACCTCTCTTAATTTGTCCTTGCTTATGCCTGTCTCCTTTGCTTTCCAGAATAATGCTGTACTTAGGATTTCACAATAAGTAGCTTCTGAGAGTAAGTTAACAGTATCAGATATATCAAGTCAAAAACACTTTTTTTTAAAGATGGAGTTCCTCTCTTATTGCCCACGCTGGAGTGCAATAGCACAATCTTGGCTCACCATAACTTGCACCTCCTGGGTTCAAGTGATTCTCCTGCTTCAGCCTCCCTAGTAGCTGGGATTATAGGCATGCGCCATGACACCAGGCTAATTGTGTATTTTTAGTAGAGACGGTGTTTCTACATGTTGGTCAGGCTGGTCTCGAACTCCCAACCTCGGGTGATCCACATGCCTTGGCTTCCCAAAGTGCTGGGATTACAGGCGTGAGCCACCACACCTGGTCCACACATTTTTACATAACAAGAGACCCTTTAGTCCACCCAAAGACTGCCCTTAGCTGCATCTTTAACTCAACTTTTTCCTCAGATGTATGGAGTTTCTTTTTAGGCTTCTACTTCTATACTTGCCTATTCTTCTCACTCCCTGTTTTAATTTAACATAGACATGCAATGCTAGAAAATAGAATTGCTCTCTGCCAGCTAAACAAGTGGGAGCCTGTGCAGTTTCTGACACTTTTTGTTGCACATGGATAAATATATCGGGTGTTATAGAGACTCAGTTGTAAAAATCAACGAATGTGTTGCCTGGTTAAAATGACTAGACTCTTCTGGCTTCTTCTTTGGTCTACTCCATTATAGTTGGTTTTCATCTTTCCTAAGGTGCATATTCCAAACTCTTGATATTTTCGTCCTGATAGTCATAGTGGTAATCTCCCTTATGTGGTGCAATCTACAAAGATTTTTATGTGCATGCAAATATTTGTGTGCAGCCATCCTTCAAATACCAAATTGTTTCTCTTGGGCTGTAATTCAAAAACTCAAGAAAATGTATGGTTTATGGGCCAGACGCAGTGGCTCACATCTGTAATCCCAGCACTTTGGGGGAAAAAGGTAGGTGGATCACAAGGTCAAGAGGTTGAGACCAGCCTCATCAATATGGTGAAACCCTATCTCTACTAAAAATGCAAAAATTATCCGGGTGTGGTGGCGCACACCTGTAGTCCTGTAGGGAGACCCCCGAAACCATTGCTATGGAATAAAAGATGAAATGCTCCTGATTATTGTAAATACAAAATTGCATGCAGGATTGTGTAAAGACAATGCCAGGATGGGCTGCCAGAATGAGCCAACAGCGCATGATGTTCTTGCCCCTACAGAGAGCCTATAAATGGATGCGTAGTCTGGGAGGTTTCACATCACCCAGATTCCTATCCCAGAAAAACAGATGTTCATAGCTCTGGGAATGGAATGCAACCCTTGTGGAGAGCCTATTAATGGACACATGAGGGGCATCTGTTCATATGGATAAGATAGGGTTATAAACACACTTATCTTGCCATGGCTCTTCTAGATCTCTTTAGGGTTTAGGCATACTCCCTTCTGAGAATTTTTGGGTTTAACCGGTTGTCTAGCTACACGTCCTGTTTCTATTGATTGTTTGCAACCAGCTTTTCCTGCAACTGTTACTGCTGATTAATATCTTGCTATTCATAGGATATAGATAGACTGTGTTTCTGTTTTGCAGCTGTGTTAGAAATCACTGATGCCCACACTATGTTGTAAATTCTTATCTCTGTATACTGTACTTCTGCATACCGATGTTATGTTAAAAACTTACTTCATCCCCATGTGACCATCTCAGCTCATAATCAAACAACCCTGAATTCCTCACTAACCTACCCCTGCCCTCACTAAACTTAATAATAAATGTTGGTATATCTAGTGTATTGGTGACATCACAGGACCAGAAGGTAATGACCCCCCTGGATGCAACTTTCACTATCATGTGTGTGCGTTTTATTTCTTGACCTGCCAATCCACCTGGGAACAAAGAAAGAGGTCTGTTGCATTGTGGGCTGCTGGCCAGATCCCGCAATATAATCCCAGCTACTTTGGATGCTGAGGTGGGAGAATCACTTGAACCCAGAAGACAGAGGCTGCAGTGAGCCCTGATCGTGCCATTGCAATGCAGCCTTTGCCACAGAGCAAGACTCCATTTAAGAAAAAGAAAAGGGGGTATAGCACCAACATGGCCAAATAGGAACAGCACCAGCCTCCAGATCCCAGCGTGAGCAACACAGAAGACGGGCGATTTCTGCATTTCCAGCACAGGTACCAGGTTCATCTCACTGGGGCATCTTGGACAGTGGGTGCAGGACAGTAGGTGCAGCCCAACAAATAAGAGTGGAAGCAGGGTGAGGCATCGCCTCACTTGGGAAGTGCAAGGGAGAAGAGAATTCCCTTTCCTAGCCAAGGGAAACCGTGACACATAACACCCGGAAAATCAGGTCACTCCCATCCTAGTACTGTACTTTACCAAGGGTCTTAGCAAACGACACACCAGCAGATCATATCCTGCACCTGGCGTGGAGGGTCCCATGCCCATAGAGGCTCCCTCATTGCTAGCACAGCAGTCTGAGATCTAACTGCAAGGCAGCAGGAAGACTGGGGGAGGGGCACCTGCCATTGCTGAGGTTTAAGTAGGTAAACAAAGTGGCCAGGAGGCTTGAACTGGGTGGAGCCCACCGCAGCTCAAGGAGGCCTGTCTGCCTCTGTAGACTCCATCTCTGGGGACAGGGCATAGCCAAACAAAAGGCAACAGAAACCTCTGCCAATGTAAATGTCCCTGTCTGACAGCTTTGAAGAGAGTAGTGATTCTCCCAGCATGGAGTTTGGGATCTGAGAACAGACAGACTGCCTGCTCAAGTGGGTCCCTGACTCCTGAGTAGCCTAATTGAGAGACGTCCCCACTAGGGGCACACTGACACCCCACACCTCCACGGCCGGTACACCTCTGAGATGAAGCTTCCAGAGGAATGATCAGACAGCAACGTTGGCTCTTCAGCAATATTCACTCTTCTGCAGCTTCCGCTGCTGATACCCAGGGAAAAAGGGTCTGGAGTGGACCTCATGCAAATTCCAACAGACCTGTAGCTGAGGGTCCTGACTGTTAGAAGGGAAACTAACAAAAAAGAAAGGACATTCACACCAAAACCCCATTTGTACATCACCATCATCAAAGACCAATGGTAGATAAAACCACAAAGGTGGGGAAAAAGCAGTGCAGAAATGCTGAAAATTCTAAATCTCGGAGTGCCTCTCCCCCTCGAAAGGAACGCAGCTCCTTGACAGCAACGGAACAAAGCTGAGAATGACTATGACGAGTTGAGAGAAGAAGGCTTCAGACAATCAAACTTCTCCGAGCTAAAGGAGGAAGTACAAACCCAGCGCAAAGAAACTAAAAACCTTGAAAACAGATTTGACAAATGGCTAACTAGAATAACCAATGTAGAGAAGTCCTTAAACAACCTGATAGAAATGAAAACCATGAAACGAGAACTACGTGGCAAATGCACAAGCTCAGTGACCAGCTCGATCAACTGGTAGAAAGGGTATCAGTTATTGAAGGTCAAATGAATGAAATGAAGCGAGAAGAGAACTTTAAAGAAAAAAGAGTAAAAAGAAATGAACAAAGCCTCCAGAAAATTTGGGACTATGTTTAAAGACCAAATCTACATCAGATTCCTGTACCTGAAAGTGACTAGTAGAATAGAACAAGTTGGAAAATACTCTGCAGGATATTATCCAGGAGAACTTCCCAAACCTAGCAAGGCAGAACAACATTCAAATTCAGGAAATACAGAGAATGCCACAAAGATACTTTTCGAGAAG